ATTATTGGATCTCTCTGTATCCTTGGTTACTTTCCAGTAACATATCTTTAATCATTTCTAAGATGCACCGGTTCATAGCTTAATCTAACAATTGGACAATTCTGCTGTTACACCCGGTATATATATATATATATATATATATATATATATATATATATATATATATATATATATATGAAAAAGACTAAATAAAGAGGGTGAAAGCGAGAGAGAGAGAGTTCATATCCAAGAATTAAGAAGAATTAATTGAATCAAATACACACCTTATCTATCACAAACTTTTGAATTTCTCCTCTTGCTTTGTCATTCAATTTCTCAGTCTCTCCTTTTTTATCTCTCTCCCTCGTTTTCTTTCAATGCCTCTCTCTTCATTCCGCCACCATTATTTTTCACGTGTCCAATAGAGAAACCTTTTCGTAGACAGTGCACCACTCGACAAGCGACTGAGCCACAATTAAAGCAAGCCAAACAAAAGGCGAAGCTGACAAAAGAGCGGGAAATAGAAGCAAAGTGGCAAACAGCTAAGTTCGAGCTTTTATGTGACTTGCAAATCCATTTGCTATACACTTCACAAGATGGAGAAACCATTTTCACATTCACTTTCTCATTCATTAAGAGAAAAAGAAAGCATTATTTAGTAAAATGAAATCTGCTTTCAAAAAGCACACCCAGACATTGTAATGATGCAGGTTACACCTTCTGAGTTCTGAGGGGGAGGGAAGCGAAACTATAAGGTCGCCATATTTTTCAGTATGGAAAAATAATAAAAGATGTCATATATTTTTAGATCTATACATTGATTTTTTTTTATTTTTTAGAAATGGTGACTTTAACTTTATATGGAAAAACTTGCAGCAATATTAAGAAATGATACAAATATCTTGCTTTTTCAGAATTTCTTTTAAAAGATCTCCCCTTCAAAATCTGCCAAAGTTCTTTTAGAAAAAGATCCAGAGTTTCAGAAAAAATACTATAGCATTTATAAAACCGACGCAGAGAATATGAATCTATCTTGAATAATAAGGAAATATGTACTGATGTAATCCTTTGAAGAAAATGTCTTTCGCTATTCGGCTTCGAAAAATTGAATCTATTTCCTGCAAATAACATGAAATGTTTCTTGTCGGTAACTAATCTTTTAATAGATTCATTATAAGACCGGTCAGTTTTTACGGTGCATTATTTTGACCCTACTTGAATTATTCATTCCAAAAACTAAATACATAATATCTTTTAATTTAGTTTAACGAAACCTTATTTCTATACAAAATAAAAATAAAGACCAATGCTTAATTACTTTTCACGTTATATATCAGGACGTTGATTCGAACAGAATATAACAAAAAACGTGTTTAAAACTGAGAATCCCACACATTCATCGGTTTAGTGACAAAAAATTTCTCAATCCCCCTCAGCACTTACCTATTATACCTCAGACATCGGAGAGTGACCCTGATTCTCTACATCTTCGAGGAATAGGTATTGTGCAGCGTGGTGTGAATGTCTCATTTTGTTTCTTTAAATCGAAACGTAACCACGAGTGGATAAGGCATATTGTGTAACCAACTTAATTTCATTCCTTACTGAAAAATATTTAATGGAAATTTATAGAAAGCGAAAAAAAAATAGTAATAGAAAATTTTAGAAAAGTAAACGAAACATAAAGTAATAGAAAATTATAGAAAGTGAAAAAGAAACAAAAAGAAATAGAAAATTATGGAAAAGTAAAAGAAACAAAATAATAATAGACAATTCTAGAAATAGAAAAAGAAACAAAATAGAAATAGAAAATTATAATAAAAGAAAGAGAAAATATTAATAGTAAATTATCTAAAGGCAAAAAGAAACAATATACAAATAGAAAATTTTAATGAGAGAAAAAGAGACAAAAAACTAATCGTAAATTGTCGAAGAGAAAAAGAAACAAAATATTAATTGCTGCACAAAATAATGATATCTATGAAATAATGGTACATTTTTAATTTAAAAAAATACATATTTTTACATCGATTTCTTCATAACGTTATTGAAAATTATTAAAATGTTCACTTCTTGACCTTTATGAATATTCCCACACGTTGTTACAAAAATCATTTTTAATTCTAGATTCCTGCTGATTAGGGATTAGTAGAATTGCAAGTAAAGTTAACTTTAAATTTTAAATTTCTATGAATTTTACTTAAGAACCAACCTCCACGTTCACATTCAACAAATTTCCCATTTTTCCTGGCATGTTCGACATATTTATCCATCTTTTCACATTCAATTAAGTTTCAATCTACAGTCGATTGCTAGATCTCCTTTTCACTGTTTATGAACACCTGCCATGAAATATTCCTTTTTCATTCCTCATCATTGTACATGTTGTATGCATATATCATTGTTATGAATCAAATCTCAGCCGTTTGCACAATTACCAGTGGGCTATCGTTCCTACTCAGTCAAATATATGTTTGCTACATTATAATTAATGTATGTTTATGTCGATTAAAGTCTCTTGTTCATTGTCAATGGAGATCAACTGAGAGTAAATCTCAAATAATTAGTACATCGTCGGCACTCTTGCCACACCAATTTCTGTCAGGGTCAAGAAACTCTCAAACTCTCTTTGAATCTTCAGTTCCTCCAATCATGACGAGTTTTTTTTTATATTCCGATGGCTTTAGTGTACCCTTGTTATCCTTCTTATTTTATATGGCGTGACCTTTCAGAGTGTATACGATCATGGTCCTTCACAACTTCCTATCCTTTGTAGTTCTAAATAATATTTACCTATTTATTATCCTTCCCAACCCCTTTTCTACCAGCCACATACACAAGCATTTATGTAGCTTACTCGATACTTCCCTCTCCCCATCTTGCCTTCAGTATGCCCTGTGTGTGTTAAATTCTCCAAGCCCTCTTTCTTCGTGATATGTCCCAGAAATTTTAACTTTTTTTCTGATTTCAAGTACAAATATCGTACTTGTTCTCAGTATTGTTAAGACTTCCTCATTGCTCAAATGTTCCGTTCATGAAAATCTTGGCATCCTTCTGTAGAGCCACATGTTTGTTTACCACAAGTCTTCTTTTCAGCGATGAGACAATTGTCAAGCGTTCACAGCCGTATAGGAGGATTGATATCACACAAAATGTCAGCATTATTTCCTTTGTTTCTAAAGATTTGTTTGTGTCTCTTAATATTTTTTTAAACATTTAAAGGACATATTTCGCAATTCCAATGCGCCTTCGTATTTCTGTTTCATCTTTTTTTTATTTCTGAGCGAGTTCCTTGTATTTTCTTTTTCTTTTTTTTCTTTTTTCTCTTTTCTTTTTCTTTTTTTTTTTTTTTTTTTTTTTTTTGTTTGTTTCTTTGAGCTTCACTTTTTCACTTTTTGGTCTACTCAAAGAAGCACCGCCCATCACTGGTAGAATTTTCTTAACTTGTTCACAATTACCAGATCAAATCTCCCTGCTTGAAGGGAGTGGCCTGTCTGAATATTAATATCCCAGAATATTTTTTATTTTTTTTTTATTTCTTAGGAGAGCATTTGGTTTATTCTTACGGGACTGGGCTGCTGACTAGATTGCAAATATTCGGACATCAGTGTGCAATCGATAGAGATAAAGGCACATCAATTGAACGTTGTGTTTACCATATCCCCGACCTCTGACCGCTACTATTGCTATAATGACTCGTTTACCAGCACTCATCATTGAATCGCTGTATTTATCACCAGTAGAAAATATGATAAAGTTTGGCAGCACACAAAAACCGCCTTTTTCCATATCTAAAGGCAATCAGCCAATAGAAATGGTTGACTGACTCATAAATCATGCGCTTCCTGCTAACAAATGGACACGGGCACGTAACTGTTGGTTCAGCCACTCTCTCCCCTCGCAGACATACAAAACCCATCAACAATTTACGCATTCCATATCTATTTATCTTACTGTTTATTTGTGCATCTTTCAGTTCGAGTATGCTCTATGGTAAGAGCGACGATCTTTCAAGCTGGAGGCAGTCTTGCTTTTTCATGATTGAAATAAATATATTGGTACCATCCCGATAATGATTTCATCCCAAGCAAGGCAATAAAGCCACTAAGACACATGGAAGTTAATGACTATGAAAAAAAGAAACGAAAAACATTATTAAAGAGCGAAAACAATAATATAACATAAAGAAGACAGAAGATAACGATTGACATTGCATTTACATTTTTGAAGATCAAACCTGACTAGAAAACAAGAAGTCAGAAGAGACATCCACAAGCGAGAAATGAGAGAGAAGAAACTGTTAGCATAGAACTTACGGCTATAAATAGCCATTTCAGCTGTAAAATAATGAGACCTTACCGCCAATCTAGTACTGCGCTTAAATTCATAAAATCTAGGTACTATAGGAGAAAGTCCATCAGAGGAATTATCATGAAAATATTTATAGAAAAGATACAGATAAGCTACATTACGGCAGTAGGAACGTGACTGGTGTCAACATACAAGGTCATGGCCAATGACATTGCAGATCCTTCTTTGGATTTTATCAAGGATCTCTAAATATATAGTAGTACCAATATTCAAAATAGTAGTACCAATATTCAAAGCAAGGACGAATGGTAGACTTATAGATATATACGATAGTTTCTGACAAAAAAAAAATATCTAGAATGACACAGTAAACCAACTTTCTTAGCAGCAGACTTAGCAATTGATTCAATATAATCTTTCCACTTCATGTCAGCGGAAAACATTAGCACGCAAAAGCGCAAAGGGTCACTCACCTGAAGATTAACATCAGCCTTGCTGATGGATGACAGTTTCCTCAGATGATTAATACAGAGCACTTTAGTTTTGGGGGCGTTAAAATAAACAAGCTATTCTTTACACCAGTTGACAGCACGTTGTAGCTGTTAATTCGACTTTATCGAACCAAGCGTGAACACATGCACACTTACATAAAATAGGTACATACAACGAAATCGATACACAAATCTTTAACCTCCACATTTATAGATTTCAGCCACATCACCTTGAAACACCGGTTCGCGTGCGTTCACCGAAGTTGAGCAACGCCGAGCCTGGTTAGTACTCAGGTGGATGATTGTTTGGGAATCCCAGGTGCTGCAAGCTTGGGCGTGCGAGTGGTGTAATAAATAATAACTAGGAATTTTTAATCGAAGATCCGAGTTTCAATTCCCGTTGGGTTCGTTATATTCACTTACGCACAAATAGCCTTGGGAAAGGTAAGAATCCACTTCTTCTCCCACAAGCTATGGGTTAATTAGTAAGACTTGTATCATTAAAACCATTATTATCTCCAAAAATAAAATAAAATTACGCACAAAATATGTAGATTTTGGCATTAAATAATCAACGTAGGTTGATAATGATGCTAAGTAAAAATCAACAACGAGCAATCATTATATACATTTATACAGAATTTGATATTTCTTTTGTATAATAACAACTTCAAGGATTTTGAGTCATTCTTTGCATTTGGGCTCGGCATAGTATGTTGGTATTATCCACTGATATTTGTCTTATGGTAGGTAGTTGCATTTATGTAGGTAGTTTCATTTTGGTTGTTTGTAATGTGCATTCACGATCGCTTTAACCGTTATACATGATATCACTGTGAATTCTTCCACACTTTATATATATATATATATATATATATATATATATATATATATATATATATATGAAAGTGAACATTGAAGTCAACACTTAGAGGCATGAAACAACCAGTCGCCTCTAATTGTTGACTTCAATGTTCACTTTTATATTTACACACGATCTATCTCTGATATTGAGCACTTTATCCCATAAATATAGCACACCTTATAAGTATATTTCTTTCTATACGCACACACACACACACACACACACACACACACATATATATATATATATATATATATATATATATATAATTAAATGGACTAAGTCCAACAATTATTTTATACGCTATTTTTATAGATACAAATATTTAAGTAAATACTCTGTTTATAATAAACAATATTATCAGGCCGGTAAATGTTGTTAATACTGATTATTATGAACAGAGCATTTCCTTAAATATTAAAAAATCAATATAAAATAACGTATAAACAAATATATATATATATATAAATATATATATATATATAATTATTTATTTAAAAATATGATTCCATCTCGCGACATAAGAGGTCTCATATATATATATATATATATATATATATATATATATATATATGAATGTATGTATGTATAAATGTATTGAGGAAATTGTAAGACAAAGAAATTTATAAGTATATAAACAAATAAAATTTTTCCATTTTGTCGTACAATCTTCTCTACTGTTCTCGATATATAAAAATATATATCGTTATCTCATATATATATATATATATATATATATATATATATGCGTGTGTATGTATGTGTGCGTTATAATCTTTTACATACATACATATATATATAACTTTTATCCTGTTTTGTATGTATGTATGTAAGGATAGATAGATAGAGAGAGAGAGAGAGAGAGAGAGAGGAGGGAGGGAGAGAGGCTTAAAACGTAGTATGGTTTTCAGGCACTTTCCACTTTGTGCCCGAGTGGTTTATGAGCATAAGACTCTGGTTCAAACCTCACCGTGACAATTTGTCAGGCGGGTGTCTTTTTCTTTATATGCGTCTGAGGAGGCGGTCTCAGTGCGCGGGACACACGTACAAGAGTGTTTCCTACTTCTCAAAATCTGACAAAATTATATTTTTGGTACATCCTATTTTTCGGAACGAGGACTTTTCATCCCCCTCTCGAAGAAAGAAAGAAAGAAAGAAAGAAAGAAAGAAAGAAACTGAGATAGATAGATAGATAGATAGATAGATAGATAGATAGATAAATAGATAGATAGATAGATAGATAATGTACAGACTGAGATTAGATAGATAGATAGATAATGTACAGACTGAGATTAGATAGATAGATAGATAGATAGATAGATAGATAGATAGATAGATAGATAGATAGATAGATAGATAGATAGATATGAACAGACAGAGATAGAGAGAGAGAGAAATAGGCCATTTTATGGGAGTCGAATGGGCAAAAGACGAAGAATTAACAATACCCTGTTTTTACAAATCCGATTGAACAAAGATGCTCCTGCTTAGAAGCGAGTCAGAAATAGCCCTTAGCATACGCTCATATTTATTTATTTTATTTTATTCAAGAAACCATATTTCAAACACACTATAGCAGTGATATGTTCACAAATGCACACAACAGAAGAAAAAAAAATGCAAAAATTGCGCCATAGAAATTACTTGCGCACGAATTCATTTGTTGGTTACCATTCATAACTCGGGATCAGGCGAATGTCTTTGACGGGCCAATGGCTTTTGTACAGTAACTAGAATCAATATATTTATTACACGTTCATGTAAACGTGCGTATGCATTTTTAAAGAAGTTGCAACATATTTACAACTCTCTATTTTATACGTATATACAGCTGATGATAAAAAAAACCCAACGTTTAGTAATTTTCAATTTTATATATATTTTGAAAGGCTTCTGTGACGAGTACAAGCTGCTAAATACATTGAATAGATCATTCTTTTATGTATCGGCAAGTGAGCGGTTATGTATCTCCACTACTTTCTATCCTTTGTAACTTTAAGTAATATTTATTCCCTGGTTATCTCTCTCAGTTTCTTTTCTACCGTCCATTTACATAAGCTCGTTAGGCAGTTACTCGCTCTTTCACTCTGCAGCCGCTTGCCTCCAATATGTACTGTGTGTGTCATACTCTGCAAACCTACTTTCTTCGTTATATGTCCAACATATTTTAACTATCTCCTTCTGATTCTGAGTACAAGTGTCATTTTTTTTTGTTATCCTTAAACGTCCTCGTTGCTCACGCATTCCGCTATTCTGTAAAACAACATGTCTATTGCTTTAACTCTACTTTTCATCTGGGAAGGAATTGGCCATCATTCACTGCCATATAAAAACATTGATATTAAATAGCAACTGAGTACTCTTCATTGTTGTTTTTTTTTTGTTTTGTAATTTGTTTTTGTTTTTTTTTTACTTTTTTTTATTTTTTGGCAATTTTTTTTTGTGGGGGTGTAGGGTATCATTTCAGCCCAAACAATTCTTTTTTGTTATATTTTTTTTTGAGAGGTGGGGCTATTTTGTGGGGGGTATTTTTTGGTAGGGTTATTATTTCAGCCGAAGCAATTCTTCTTAGTTGTTTTTTTTTTTTGGGGGAGGGATCTTTTGGGGGGTTCTTGCTTCTTGTTTTTGTATTTTTGTTATTTTTTGGTTGGGTATCATTTCAGCTCAAGCAACTCTTCCTTGTTTTTTTCTTTTTTGGGAGGGGATTCTTCTTGTTTTTGTTTTTTGCTATTTTTTTTTTTTTTTTTTGGTGAGTGGGGGTTCTTATAGTTTTTTTGTATTTTTCTATTTTTTGGTAGGGGCATCATTTCAGCCCAAGCAATTCTTTTTTGTTGTATGGGGGGGCTCTGGGGGTTTGCATTTTTTGGTAGGGGCATCATTTCAGCCCAAGCAATTCTTTTTTGTTGTATCGGGGGGGGGGGCTCTGGGGGTTTGCATTTTTTGGTAGGGGCATCATTTCATCCCAAGCAATTCTTCTTCACTGGTTCTTTTTTTTTTGTGGTGGGCTGGTTCTTGTTGTTTTTGTTTTATTTGCTATTTTGGGGTAGGGGGGTATGATTTCAGATCAACTAATGTGATAACACCACTAAGATGTGAATGAATGGAAGAGAATGAGAAGACTTAATGACGTGAAATGAGGTGAAATAAATAAAAAAAAATAAGGATTCAGAAATACAGCAGATGGCGAATTAAATCGTTTAAGATTGTAGGTGGCAGGGGAAAAAGAAATAAGAAGGAAGCTCCACAGGCGAGAAGTGCAAAAAAAAACCATAAGAATAGAAATGACGGTTGTATCTCGCTAGTTCAACAATAAAAAAGTGTCACCTTTGTTAACAACTGCTAAATTCATGTAGTGGAGAGAAAATGGTCAAACTGGTCAAGAGAAATAGTAACTTTGACAACAAAATATTCGAACATTGTGTCACTCCTTTCACCATTCTTTAATGTAGGAATGGTATTCTCTAGCTTAAAAGTTTCCACAAGTTTTCAGAATGTATTCTTCAACTCAATAAACTCAAACAATTCAAATTTAAAACTTAAAATAGTTTCCCCAAGAGTTTTGTTTACTGTCAAATATCAATTGCCAATTTAAGTAACCTTAGTTTGGAGAAGTATTTTTTTTTATTATTTATTTTTCCTTCACAAAAATCCTTCAGGTCATTTCCATGTGTCGGTTTTTGACTATTCAGTAGTAGTAATGGATAGCGGCTCCAATTGAGGAATCAGAGAACCGAGTTCGAATTCCAGTCAGATCCATTATATTCACTTACGTCCTAATAGCCTTGGAAAAGGTATGACTCCTCTTCTTCTGCCCTTATGGGTTTAATGAGTAAATAGTATGACAGACTATGTTCTATATCATTGAGTGGCAACCGGTCTGGGTGAAAGAAAAGCTCTAAATTCAAAACCCCGTCCTGGAGGGTGTTAGGCTATCTCGCCCCCCCCAAAAAAAACACTACTGCGGCTGCAGTACACATTGTACCCTTATGGATCACGGGATAAAAAAAAACGATTAATTCAGGCTGGTGATCGTTATCCTTAGATTCTTTTACAAATTGTTTTCCAGCTCTAGACTTACAAGCGGTCTAACAACACATATTTATTTGGAAATAAGTGTTCGTCTAATATTTTTGTATATTTCTTTTTAATACCCTATTCAGGGAGGAGGGTATCATGGCTAACCACTCAGTATGGCTTTCTATTCTTTATTATCTGTGAACTAACACGAAAGAAACTTAGGGTAGTTTCGTATTGTTTTCTCCGCGGTTTTGAATTTAGAGGTTTCCTTCTTTTAGATTGGTTAGCACCAAGGCTAGACAAACCAGTCTACCTTGTTATATGGTGTTGTAAAAGTAGTAGCTATATTCAAATAGAATGAGGATTGTCATGAAATAAAGAATATAATGTTACGAAAATATCATATTGCACAATTTAATACTTACCCTTCCAAGTATTCATTTATTG